GTTTAACTATAATATATTAATCACAATTCATAATTATTTTTTTTTAAAATCAATTATTTCTTCAACAAATTGTTAAAAAAAATAGTGGTTTACTTATAAAAATATGAATGTCTATCAATATAAATAAGAAGATGTGGCATGAGTGCCAATGAGACAACTCTCCCTCTCAGTCTATCGAGCCAATTAGTAGGGTGCCCAATGTCCAAAAAGTCCTCTAGTTAACGAGTTTAAGTTAACGGATAACACACGGCTGGTTTTTTTGCACATTATAGGAAAATCATTATATTTTACAATCATGATTGTCGTCGTAAGTTCCCGTGGTCACGATTTTCTAAATTTCGTGTTTTTACAGGGTACCACCAGATATCGTATTGTACTGGGAATCTTTAACATGAAAAATAAAATTATTGCGTTCTTTGTTGGTAGATAAAACAGTACCTATAATATAGTTTATATATTACATATATCATATAACGAAATCGGAAAGTATTTAAGTGATTTTGATATAAGTATTTCAGCATTTTAGTAAGAGTAAAATTTTACCCGAAATTTACCCTATTTTCATCGAAAGCAAAATTATTACGTGTATCATTATAATATTTTTTACTCTGCTTTAAGCAATAAGACACAGTGCATGTGTGTGCCAAATTGCATGCGTGAAATAATATCGTTTTGAAGAAATTAGCAATTTAAAACACAAATTAAGTCAACATTTTGGTATTGATTAAACACGGATTATCTCGTGCCATTAGTATATGTAAGAGAATGATAATCCCTTTCTTCATGATTAAGTACGAGCGTTAGCGAGTACTTATCATGAAGTAAGGGATTATCATTCTCTTACAAACTTAGAATATTGTAAAGTGCTCAAGGCTCAAATGATCTATTCAAGAATTAGTTTCATTGTCAGTGCAATGTTTATAATTGATGCATGACTTCCTTTTTCGGCATGTCATTTATGGATTAGTTTTAGTGATGTAAGGACTTTCTTATTATTTGGGATATATTTTTTTTTTAAATCCGTTATAGCTATTAGGTGACACGACAGTAGAAAGAAAGGTAGGAATTGTATATGGTTCCTGATTGTGAGTATGAATGTAAATCATGTAATATTTTAGTGAGGAATTATCCTTTTTTTTATTTACAGTTTAAATCAATTTATGCATTTGAGTTAAAACTAAATTTTATTTCACAGCCAATATTTTGGTCCGGCTTTTTACATCAAATACTATTTCATTATGTCAGGGAAGTGTTCAAAAATAATGCCTTTAAAGGTTTTTAATATGTTCAAAATTAAATTCCTGTTTGTTTTTATTTTTTTATCGGAATATTGGAAATAACTATTCTTCCCAACCGCTAATCAAGTAATCAAAGTTGGAAAGATAAAGATTTAGGTTTTTTTTTATCTGAAAGATTATTTTTTCTTTTTTTGCATTGCTTTGGTATTGTTTAATTTTTTAGTAATTTAAAGTTATCAATATTTGCATAATAACATTCACGGTACCAATTTTACTGCACCAGTAAACTTCAACTTATTTTGGAGTTTTGTTTGTTTCACCATTCAACTTTTAGTCAGTTCCAATCACTGTGTCATAAATCCTTTCAATCTGATAAATGTGCTTCGGGGCAGTTGTAACTCATTTATAGAAACTCTTTGTTTTGAACTGTAAATAGATTCAAATAATAGGATAATCCCTTACTAAGAACATGATTTACATTCATTCTTCACAATTAAGAGGTACCCAATCCTACAATTTCATTGGTCGAGAGCACTTTGCTATATTCTAAATCATTTTGTTGCTTACACTATTGGGTCATTAACAAGGACAGAGGTCACTCAAAACATTTGTCTTTTTTGCTTGTTGTGTGGTTGATTTATTTGTTGTGAATAGCCAGCTAACTTTATAGATTGTCACTTTGTTCGGAGAAATCTGTTTTGTGTCTGTTTTTCAAAACTTTAAACTTTTTATTGAATAAATATTTTGTTATAATTGTAGTATAAGAATCAAATCGGTCGGTTATGTTTCACACCCGGAATATGGCACATCAAAAGTCTTGTATGATGTTTTCGACCTAAATCCCTCTCGGTGGGAACGACAACAAAAATATACCACCGTTCGTGCAACAACAAAAAAACCGGATACAACAGACAGCAACCAACGACAACCACTTAATTGCAGGCTCCTGATTTTGGACAGACATATACAGAATTTAGAGGGGTTAAACATGTTTGTGATCCTTCAACCATCCCCTGACCTGGACAATGGTATAACAACACAGCATAAGAAAAATCTGCTGAAAAAAAGGTTTGAAATGGCTTGACTTATCAAATCGACATGAAGCACAAAAACAACTAACATGAAGACAAAAACACAAAGTACCGATATAATAGTACTCGCCGTTAGGGTAGAACATTTTATATTCTGAAGAAAGGGATGGGGCTGGCGGCGCGAAAAATTTATTTTCACTTTTGTACACATTGATATCCTCAACTATCCTGCATTTCATGTTGAAGAGTGTTCATTCTCATCCTATCTTCAGGGGCGTTTCTAGGATATTGAAAGAGGGGGCGTAGAATCAAATCTGTCAAAAAAATTTTGGACCTTTTTTTTGCTAAAAAACATAAAATAATTGTGAAATACATAAATTGCCATATTCAATACAATATTAGCAGATTACGATAGTTTTTCTTTTTTTTTTTTTGAAAAAGGGGGGGGGGGGGGGGCGTACGCCCATTACGCCCTCACCTGGACCCGCCCCTGAATTCTTGTGCAAAGTCAATTATTTCAGTTCATACCAGGCCAAGGAATTCATTTTCAAAATCCTCATTCCCTCCCTGTTTTCGAAATCAAATGGGTGTTCCTTTACTGAAAACTAATGAAAGGACGTCATCAATAGTCTGAGAAAAGTATGATCATAAACATCATTACCGTAAAAAATAGCTTTTGTTATAAATCAGGCCGTTAGTTTTTTTTTTCAAATGAATTCTTTCATTTTTTTCATAACTGGCCTTTTTATAGCCGACCATACGGTATGAGTTTTTCACATTGTTGAATGCTGTACGGTTGCCTATAATTGCTTGCTTCCACGTCTCCTAATTTTTATATATTATACAACAAGTATTACATAAAATTAACAATATCAATGTTCCATGTAAATGAGGTAAGGTCAGATGACCTCTGCCACAAAATCACGTACAACTTGTTACAATTCCATACACCAAATATATTTAACCCTCTACTATCTGAGACTGTACGGACTTGACCACTGAAACTTAACCTTATTCACTGATCCGTAAAATTACATGTAGGTTGAGGTCAGGTGAATTATGTCTATCGGTCATGTAGACCTTGCAAGGATACCATATATTAGTAACCAAATATAGTTATCCTAGAACTCGTGATAATTGAGACATTCACATGACGAAAAAAAGCTATACAGTTTTTTAGCAGTCACTTAACCATGAATATGAGGTAAAGGATAATATTATATGACGGAAACTGCGATGGATCTATATACAAAGTATGAATCATCCAGTTCCTCTGCTCTCTGAAATATTAAGCTATACAAATAGTTTACGGTGTTGCCGCCACAACCATCAGATTGTATTCTGTATGCCTCGCATTCTGCTACTTGCGTCGAATGCGATTTAAAAACGAACAACTGAAATTATCTCTCTTACCTAAACCTAGTCGATGGGCTTTCAACTTTACAGTAGACAATGGAACGTAATAGCTACTACTAGCTTCGGTATTTTTTCGATGTTGTTTCGCTCTTATTAAAATTCTGATCTTTATTAACTCGCGTGCTCTTATATATAAGCTCAAATGAGGATAACGAAATCAGAGATCTATATTTTAATTAGATTGATGTTGTTTACAAGTGTTTGTAAAATATATCGATGCTGTACAAAACTTTCTTTTTGTAGATAATCTTTAACTTCATGTCAATTGTAGGACAATTTATGTTCGATAAGTCATGTACATTACACTTGATATAAGTGTGTAAGATGGAGTGATTAGCCTGCTGTTTCTAATTCTCATTTTGTTTTCATAACTTGTAACAATTACCCTCCCCCTTTTTCACCGTTTGCAGTTTGTTTTTTTATTTCTGTAAAGCAAATATATACTCAGACCTGCTAATTCAATCAATTCTGCGTTAATATTCATCAGTTTTGAAACTAAGTACTATTTGATGTGCTTCCACGTTCACCAAAAGAAAATTGGATATTTACCCAGAAAATCATGACGAACACCTTCTATCAAAAGACGAAAAAAATAACATTTTGGGAGGGCAACTTATAAATGTTAATATCTAAAAAACATCTCTAAAGATCACTTGTATCGAATTTTATGTAAAAATTCCGATTTTGGAACTTTTAAAAGGTCAAGGTCACTGTTATTTAACAGCTGAATGAAAATTGTTAATGTGCACCCTATAAGTACAAATGTCAATCTCGAACCATATTTGGCAATAAAATTATCAAATTAGTCCTAAATATAGAAACTTTAGTTATAATCCTTTGAAATATTTGAATTTATTTTGCTATAAACGCAAATATGTAGGGGTGGCCACCTGTCTTAACGTGACTCTACGTTTTCCTTGAAATTTTAGATTTGACCTTTGACCCAAATTTAAGAAAATCGTGACCACTGTAGACAACGACGACATCAATATTTCGACGAGGCTTGTTCTCCTCTTTCCAATGATATAAAATATAGCCGTGTGTTATTCCGTTAACCCAAATCGATCAAATTTGTTGACTGGGCACCCTACAATATATATGTTAATTTAAGATTATTATAAGAGGATAATGTTCTTATGTATTTTTTTGAATTTGTTTATTATTTGACATTTATTATTAAAAAATTTATATATGAAAATTATTTTATACATCATATACATGTCTCATTATACCTTAGTAAAAAAAACCAATGTAAATTGCTATATAAACACCAAGTCCATCTATTAATTGACACTTGTTGGATAAACGTGAGTTGGGTTTTTTCAAATGTTGGAGAACAGTGAATAACCATAACAGTATCAAGCATACATTGAAATACAACGGAAAAGTTGAAGATGTTTATTTCAAAATACAGCTCAGCCGCAGTAACTGCGTAACAGGAGCGAAAATACATACATGTTTATATATAGCAAACGATTCGAGTAAAACATGATTAACATATAAGTATAAAACATTTGCACATGAATAGATTCTATTTCACATAATACTTTGACAGCAAACAGAGTGAACCCATGCAGACCTTTGTAAACAATTCCACGAGGTCGACAATGACTGTAACGAATATTTATAATTAACACATAGAGTATCAGAAAAAAATTATTCTAAATTACATGGATTTATGTGCATATGAAATATGTAAGATTTGTAGATCAACAATCTTTCTACTTTTTGTGAAAAAAAATGGCCAAATTCGTAAGTACAGCTAAATTGCAGTATTTTAGCATATCAATAATTTTACTAACTTGTGGATTCAATAATTATCTGGAATGATTTTTTTCCTTGAATCCTTTACTTTATCATACATAAACATATATAATGAAATTCGTCCCCAAGATGAAAATTTTTTTCTTGTCTCAGTATATTTCGTCATCTACCGGATTCTATGGGAAATTTAATGTTACAAGTCTTGCACATATATATGCTATGAGAACGCTTCAGTCTCAATATGTATGGTTCCGGTTCCAGTATAAATTCTGTTTTAAATTGCGTGTAAAAGTCCTCCCTCGGTGGACGAATTGTGTATATCTGCAAACCATATTTGAATGAACTGGTCAAGAAGTCGTTGTTTGACAGTATATTATAAAACTTCTAAAGTTGAACATTCCATACTTTACTAAAACCACAATCATCAAATATAGATTTAATATAGTTTATCCATTTAAACTGATAATTTTTATTAACTTGTAAATGCTTCAGCAGTTTGTATAGTTTTCCAGACACTTTATTTTCATTGGTAACAAGCTTGTTACAGAAGTATATCATTTTCATCTTCATTTGCAATTCTAAAAGAAATCTACCTAACTCACCATATATCATGAAATTAGGAGTGGATGTTCGGACAGACAAAATAAGCTTACAAAACTAAATGAATCTTCTCAGTATTTGCTTTATTTTCAAACCCCCAAATTTCAGAGCACGTCAAAATGAGAACAACTAACGATCAAATAATTTTAACTAGAGAGCATATAGTTTCTTTTGAGCTTGGTCAACTAGGTTTTTTTTCCGAGCCTGGAAAAAAAACCTTTATAGTTAAACAAAAAACCAAGGTTAATATAACTGTCCTTGATTTCCACTTCCTGATTACATAGTGTAATTGAAATATTTTGTTTACATTATCTCTGAGAAAAAATTACAATTTTTGTTTTTGACACATAAACACTAAGTTTCCAATCTTCACAGTATTTTTCAAAAACAGAAAGTGCCTTTTGTAATATTGAGCCGATTCGGCAATTATAACAGTGTCATCGGCATATAATAAAATAAACATTTTAATATACATGTATACTCAAATTATCTATACATATATCATATAAAAAATTTAAACAATCAACAGAGTTGGCAGACAAATATTCCTCCAAGTCGTTTATGTACAAGGCAAAGAGGAAATGAGACAGCTTTTCTCCTTGCCTTACACCTTCCTCACAATGGAAAAAAAATGTTTTCATCTCACCATTCTTTACACAAGACTTAATACATGTTCAAAATAAGGTTGAACATTTTCCCACCAATATTTCTCTTAAGGAGTGTTTGCCAGAGACCCACCCTAGAAACGGAATTGCTTTAAAAACTTTTCCTAAGTTTAAAGTGAGACAAATTGCCCGATAATTATCAAAATTATTAATATCTCCCTTATTTTTAAACAAGGTTTTTATTACACCAAGTAGCCATGAATCATGTATTATACCTGAATTAACAAGAGTGCACACGCTGAAATGTCTCGCCTTCTTTACTAATCATTGATATTATGTTGATAGTCCTAAATATAAAGCTTTATTACAACTGTCACATGAACTTAACATTAACCAAGAATACTAAACATTGACCAATGAACCATGAAAATGAGGTCAAGGTCAGATGAACCATGCCAGGCAGGCATGTACAGCTAACAATTCTTCCATACAACAAATATAGTTAACCTATTGCTTATAGTTTAAGAAAAACAGACCAAAACACAAAAACTTAACACTGAGCAATGAACTGTGGAAATGAGGTCAAGGTCAAATAAAACCTGCGCGACTGACATATAGATCATAAAATATTTCCATACACCAAATATAGTTGACCTTTTGCATATAGTATTAGAAAAAAAGACCAAAACTCAAAATCTTAACTTTGACCACTGAACCATGAAAATGAGGTCAAGGTCAAATGACACCTGCCAGCTAGACATGTACACATTACAATCATTCCATACACCAAATATAGTAGACCTATTGCATACAGTATAAGAAAAACAGACCAAAACACAAAAACTTAACTATAACCACTGAACCATGAAAATGAGGTCAAGGTCAGATGACACCTGCCAGTTGGACATGTACACCTTACAGTCCTTTCATACACCGATTATACTTAACCTATTGCTTATAGTATCTGAGATATGGACTTGACCAACCAAAACTTAACCTTGTTCACTGATCCCTGAAATGAGGTCGAGGTCAAGTGAAAACTGTCTGATGGGCATGAGGACCTTGCTTGCAAGGTACAATGTACGCACATACCAAATATAGTTATCCTATTACTCATTATAAGAGAGAAATTAACATTACATTCATCTGACCTTGACCTCATTTTCATGGTTCATTAGTCAATATTTAGTTTTCTTGGTTAAGTCTGTATCTTAGAAACTATAAGCAATAGGTCAACTATATTTAGTGTATTGAATGATTGTAAGGTGTACATGTATTTCTTGTTTGGTTTATATGACCTTGACCTCATTTTCTTGGATCATGTTAAATTTATGTGATAGTTGTAGTAAAGCTTTATATTTAGAACTATCAACATAATATCAATGATTAGTAAAGAAGGCGAGACATTTCAGCGTGTGCCCTCTTGTTAAAGTTTAATTACTTATTCAATTGAAATCTTCATTTAGTTCATATTAACCATAGTCTATATAATATAATATTTAAATTGATATGGAATTAAATAAATCTCTAATATCCTTTTTTTAATGTCTTATGTTAATAAGCATTTCCATTCTCAAAATATCTTTTTTTTTTAATAAAAAGTAATAAAAATGTTTTCATCTTCTTTACTTCTTTAAAATTCATAATAATTTTATCCTAATGTCTACTATTTTTTCTTATCAAAAAGTGATAAAATGTTGCAATTTTATCAAGTTCACTAATTATTTAACAGTTAAATACTTATAAAAACACCTATTGTTGCGAACCCAACCCCCCTAAATCCGCTAGTGATTCGTAAATATAAATCAACATGCAGACATCTTATACGTTCAGGTATTTCACATCCAATCTTTTATGGTAATATTCTATACAAAGCACAAAAATGTCGTCAGTCACCTCAAAAGCTAACCAAACCTTTAAACAGACTTATTCAGAAGGGATATAGTTACGATACTGTTGTCAGGTCATTAGAGATGGCATATTTTGGTATTAATATTGATTCACTCATAGGGTCTTTGCATCGGAAATAAACACATTTATTCTAAAACCAGTTGTTGACATGATACGGGTTATGTTCTCATATATTTTATGATGGTATGATACTAAACCCCTAACGGGAGGGATTGTGCTTGATTTTCATATGATGAAGACATACTCTTTCAATCAGTTTAATTGAGGTCTGGAGCTGGTATGTTAGTAACTGCTAGTAGTCCTTTTATATTTATGTATCATTGTCATTTTGCTTAGTTTCTTTTGTTACCTATTCTGACATCGGACTCAGACTTCTTTTAAACTGAGTTTTACTGTGCGTATTGCTGTGTGTTTTTTTTTTTTCTACACTGGCTAGAGGTATAGGGGGAGGGTTCAGATCTCACTAAACATGTTTAACCCCGCCGCATTTTTGCGCCTGTTCCAAGTCAGGAGCCACTGGCCTTTGTTAGTCTTGTATGTTTTTTTAATTTTAGTTCATTTATATGTTTTGGAGTTTAGTATGACGTCCATATTTTCTGAAGTAGTACACATTTTTGTTTAGGGGCCAGCTGAAGCCCGCCTCCGGGTGCGGGATTTTCTCGTTGTGTTGAAGACCCATTGGTGACCTTCGGCTGTTTTCTGCTCTTTGGTCGGGTTGTTGTCTCTTTGACACATTCCCCATTTCCATTCTCAATTTTATTCTGTACCGTTTTATGTAGAGTATGTTCAGTGAGAGCAAAAAGATCAAAAGTTGATATGTACAATGCACCACGATGGAACCTAAGCTACGACTGTAACTCTCATGGATCGACCCTCTGCCATGTGACTACAAACGTGTGCAAACATATTCTTATCCTTAAACAGGTTAAAGATAGCAATTAATTAACAGGAAAGGAATATATAAATGTTTTTGCCTCTAATTCTTTAACAGTTAGGACAATAATCCCAAAATCAATCCCAACCTTCCTTTTGTGGTATCGAACCTTGTGGTACATTTTCATAGAGATTTATGCACTTATACTCAAGTTATTGTCTGGAAACCAAATGTCTTCGGACGACGACGCTCACGGCGACAATGTCATACCATTACACGGCCGTAAATGAAAAAAAGGGACCAGAAATCATTTTGAAAGGACCCATCAGACACAAGTTAAACCTTTTAAAAATTCGCGTGCGTCTGAAACTGTATATATACAATCAATATCGAAAAGGTACTTCCTTAAATATTTTTTCTTCAAATGGCTACTACTCTATTACCTTTGTAGAATATCCTTTAACATCCCATTGAAAAGGCTAAACAGTATGTGCGTATAGGTATTCGACTAAATTGCTGGCTATTATTATCTCGAAAATACTTCTGCCATTCTTTCTCGTTGAAATATGTTAAAATAATACCAGAAGAAAAAATTAAAAACCAATTGTTCAGAGAATAATTGAAGGTCTTTCCACAAAAAAAAAATGTATTTTGATAAGAAAATATAAAAATCGAATTTAAAATGTCATTTTCCGTGTCAGATGATAGCTAACTGTGCGCTAATTTCAAAAATATATGGTTTCAATACACTTCTGTTTGAAATAAGGGAGATCATTTGTTACTTCCGGTTTGAAAAATGTCACTTCCGGTATAATATGATAGTTTACCTGACACTGATTCCCAAAATATACTTCCGGTTCACACAAGGTCACTTCTGGTTGGCTTTTTCAAGGTCATATGGCTTGCAACCTAATACAAGAAGTCCCATAGCTCTATCATTTACAAATATAAAGTTAAAACAAAGGTCAAAATCTAGAACTTCAAATTTACCTATGACC